CAAGGCAGGGTGGACTCCTGACTACATGTCCATCCCCTTATGCTCCTCTGAATTTAGAGGAGCCTGAATTGAGTACAACAAGCTGGGTGGGTGATATTGAGAGACCTCCAGATGAGATTCTGGTTAATGTATGCAGGTTATGGGTCATAATGATAACTTAATGTGCAATATTGGGTGCTGTCCCATGTGTTCACTCACATGCCTGATATGAATGAGGGTCAGACAGAGGGAGAGTGGGCAATGGGATTTTCTTTTCTTTTCTTTTCTTTTTTTTTTTTTTTGACAGGCAGTGTGGACAGTGAGAGAGAGACAAAGAGAAAGGTCTTCCTTTTGCTGTTGATTCACCCTCCAATGGCCGCAGCGGCCAGTGCGCTGTGGCTGGCACACCACGCTGATCCGATGGCAGGAGCAGGTGCTTCTCCTGGTCTCCCATGCAGGTGCAGGGCCCAAGCACTTGGACCATCCTCCACTGCACTCCCTGGCCACAGCAGAGAGCTGGCCTGGAAGAGGGGCAACCGGGACAGAATCTGGTGCCCCGACCAGAACTAGAACCTGGTGTGCTAGCGCCACAAGGTGGAGGATTAGCCTAGTGAGCTGCGGTGCCGGCCGCGCCGTGGGATTTTCAAGAAGAACCTATGAGCAAGTGAAGCAGGCTGATTTCTCACCTGGGGCTACTAGAGAAGAAGAAAGGTTTGCAGGCTAGAAAATGAGCAAAGAGACAGGAAACACAGCATCTCCTTTGCCCCTTCCCCAAGATGCACACCCAAGGTTAGCAATTGCCTTCCTCTTAAATCTGAATTGGTGCTAGTAATGATGTTGGAACTTGTGAATAAAGGGCCTAATGTGGCTAATATTCTGCTTATCTTTCCTACACATGGCCCAACAAATGATATTTGCTTAAAACAAATATAGGCATGCACATAGCTTGAGACTTGACTGAGAGTTCTTGCAAAATGTAAGTACTCCTTGCTGACTTGAAAGATGCTGAATGTGTGGCTCCATATTGGGATTGGGAGTTCTGTCATTAGAGCTGGATTTTGCCATTGGTGGTGCACATCATTTTCTCAACTAGGTCTCTGACAACTCCTATGGCATTCACCCTTGCTAGACATTTCCTCAGGTTCCCAGCTGAAAGGCAGCCAAACATGAATCCCATTATCTAAAGACTAGCATCTGTGGTCTCTTTGTGTGAGACCCTCAGCTGTCGGGCTGGAAGAGCAACAGCATCTCTCCACAAGAAACACTGGAGACAGGCCTGATGAGCCTGTCTGTTTTTTAGCAATCAGGCTCAGAATTTATAGGGGAAGAGGGGAAGAAAAAACCTTGGGTGGCAACAGCAAGTCTATAGAGCAGAAGGGGCAACATGCCAAAAGACCTCCAACTAATTGACTTAAAGGTCACTTAGCACACATAGGCCCCTGGGCTCCTTTGTGCAACCAGCCCATGTCTGGGAGTTGCTTATCAGCTCTCTGTTTATGAACCACAAAAGCATAGCCACAAGGCTTCCAACAGGAAGAGGGGATGGAGGAAATGGGCCTGGAGCTCCTGCCACTTGCCAGCAGCCAGGCTGTGGGGTCCCTCCTGGGAGGCATAGCGCACCATGCCCTCTCAACCTCCTGCATGGGCAGGCCAGGCAGTCCCATGGGATCACCCACAGAAATCTATCCGAACTGCAAAAGATTGTGATTGGCTAAATTTTATTATAGAATTTATATCAGAAATTTCCCACCAAAGTCTGCTTTATTCTGACTTTGTCAAACACAGTGATGGAGAAAGGACAAAAATCCTTATGTCCATGTTGATCTCTCACCTACACAACAAGCAGTCCCCTGTTTCTCTGACTTGCTAATACAGCCTCTCCCCCCCACCCCACCTTGACCAGTCTTGCTCTGCCTCAACTTTTGGACACAACACTATGTGAAAACTCTGCTATCAGCCTGAGATCTCCCCCACTCCTCCCAAGCTGTCTCCCTCTATCTCAGTGCTCAGCCTCAGAGCCCAGCCTCAGCCCAAACCCCTCCCAGCTCACACTGTGACCTCAAAGGACCTTTAAATCTAGCCCAAGCTCTTCTCTATCTCAGCAGCCCTGCTTTAGCTCAGACTTGCAAGCTCCTTCCCACCAATTTGTGCTATATAAAGCACCAGTCTGTAAGACAGGGGGTTCTCTCTGCTGTGTTTGCTGGGAACTCTCTGCCACGCATTCACCTTGGAGTGAATCAACCTTCTGAATAAACCTGGTCTGCCTGTGGCTCCATGCTCTGTCTCCTCTTTCTTGGCACACAGCTTGTCTTGTTTTGTGGACTTGTGCATGGAGATTTAAGATTACTACCCCAATCCCCGACCATTTGAAAGCTAATTTATAGACATGGACTTGGCATGTGGCTCCATTAATGTGTGTCTGTGGTCTTAGAAGTTCTTTTGGCTGCTTTTATTGGGAGGTGACTGTCAGGAAATAAACTGCTAGGAAGAAATTGATGAGATTTCCTTTGAATTCTGTGGTGCTTCACTGAAACTTGGAACACTTTGGTGATCTAAGATGAAAAGCTCATTAACAATTCTTGCTCAAAGATGCTAAAAATAATCAGCTATCTAGATCATAGACCTTGGATAAATGTTCTCTCCAACTTGAAATTTCTTTTCTTTTTAATTTGACAGGTAGAGTTATAGACAGTGAGAGAGAGAGAGAGAGACAGAGAAAGGTGTTCCTTCTGTTGGTTCACTCCCCAAATGGCCGCAATGGCCAGAGCTGCACCAATCTGCAGCCAGGAGCCAGGTGCTTCTTCCTGGTCTCCCATGCAGGTTCAGGGGCCCAACCACTTGGGTCATCCTCCACTGCCCTCCTGGGCCACAGCAGAGCTGGACTGGGAGGGGAGCAGCTGGGACTAGAACCTGGTGCCCATAGGGGATGCCAGCACCACAGACAGAGCATTAACCAAGTGAAATTTCTAGAGAAGACTTCACTTAAATGTTTTCAGCATTGATGTTTTCAGAAAGGAAATACAAAGAGCTACCCTTTTCCTTTGACTTAGCTGAACTTAGTTGTGGGAAGGAAGGGGAATGTGGAACCCAGTGACTTGTGATGTCTGGAGACCTAAGCTCCTAATGGCTACTCTCATGATTTCCTACAGCTTTTAAATCTGAGTGAAATCAGGTGAGAAACTCTAGTGTGCAAGCAAAGCATTCTGACAATCAGTATGTGGTCCACAGTAGAGACTAGGGTACCTGAGGAGTCAAATAGTCATTTTTCAGCATGGTGATTGCCTTAGAGCCATGAGCTTCAGCCCCCTGGGTGTAAGAAATTCCCAATTTTTGGTCCCCCAAATCCAGAGAGGATTCCGTACAGCTCATGACAAGAGAAGTTTTGACCAAACATGTGAAGCCCTTTTTGCATTCTTGATAGGGTTTCTCAGGATCAAGGTTCTAAGCACTTTGACCTTGAGATTTCTAGCTGGACCCTTGGATATGTCAAAGGATAATTTTGTATTTTCTAAAAACACTTGAAATCAGTTTAGCAGAAAATATTCTTAAATAGAGATCTTAGGCTACTTTAGACACTAATTTCCAGAATGCTGCAGGAAAGAAAAAAACTAAAAATCCCATTAAACTGCTAGTAGAGGGGCCAGTGCTGTGGCACAGTGGGTTAAAGCCCTGGCTTGACACTCCAGCATTCCATATGGGCACCAGTTTGAGTCCTGGGAGCTCCACTGTTGATCCAGCTCCCTATTCATGTTCCTGAGAAAGCAACAGAGGATGGCTCAGGTCCTCGGGCCTCTACATCCACATGGGAGACCCAGAAGAAGTTCCTGGATCCTAGCTTCAGATCAGCTCAGCTCCAACTGTTTCAGCCACTTGGGAGTGAACCAGCAAATGCAAGTGCTCTCTCTCTCTGTGTCTCTTTCTCTCTCTGTAACTGTCTTTCAAATACACAGAATTAGTTACATGAGATTGAATTAATCATATTTATGGATTTCTATGCTTTTATTTAAATGTTTTTGGTTCTGCATTTCAGTGTTTCATCTAGATTCAGGAAGATTTCTACAATTTCTATTGGTTACTATACTTTAGTATAGTTTTATAAATAGATGGAAATGTTTACCTTTCCACCTACTTAATTCCTCTAAAATGCAAAACTTTTTTGGTTTCTTGTGGCAACGTTATTGTATGAGCTCAGTAAGAATCCATTACCAGGGCCGGCACTGTGGCATAGCAAGCAAAGTCGCTACCTGCAGTGCTGGCATCCCATATGGGCAATGATTCAGGTCCCGACTGCTCCACTTCTGATCTGGCTCTCTGCTATGGCCTGGGAAAGCAATGGAAGATGGCTCAAGCCCTTGGGCCCCTGCACCAGTGTGGGAGAACCAGAAGAAGCTCCTGGCTTCAGATCAGCCCAGCTCTGGCCATTGTGGCCATTTGGAAGAGTGAACAAGCAGATGGAAGACATCTTTCTCCCCTCTTGCCTCTGCCTCTTTGTAATTCTGGCTTTCAAGTAAAAATGAATAAATTTTAAAAAAGAAGAATCTATTATCATCATACCACAATATCCTTGAAAACGTTAGCATATACAAAAATTATGCACAGAATATCTGGCATCATGAACTCCTACCCTTGCAATTAGTGAATAGAGTTTTCACTTCTTAGTGAACCCCAAAACTTGAAAATACCAGATATTGCTGGTAAAGAAAATATAAGCCTGTCTTGGATTCAATTTTTAACTTTCAGAATTTTTGGATCAGACATTATACATATTTAATGTAAGTAGTTAGCACACTGTAATACTCCTTCTTTCAGATCACAACTCTGTTCATTGTTTTTGTTTTATTTCAAAGATTTAGTTTTTCATTTATTTGAAAGGCAGAATTACAGACAAAGAGGGAGAGACAGAGAAAGAGAGGTCTTCCATCCATGGTATACTCCACAAGTGGTTGCAATATATGGAATGGGGCAAGGCTGAAGCCAGGAATCAGGAACTTCATCTGCGTCTTCCCCATGGGTGACAGGGGTCCAAGCACTTATGTCATCTTCTACTGCTTTCCCAGGTCCATTAGCATGGAGCCAAATCAGAAGTGACTCAAATTGGCACTCATATGGGATGTAGGCATCAAAGATGGCAGCTGAACCACTGGGCCACAATACCAGCCCATGTTCATGGGCCTGAAAACTTTCACTGAGGTTAATAAGCATTTCCTGTGTACTTATATGATGTTAATTATGGTATTCTGCTATTCGCTTGTAACCTTGTTCATTGTTTTCACATATAACTTCTGTATAGCTTATATGCATAGATGTAACTCAATTTGTTATCATCTTGTTGGTTTTGTTAAACACTTTTATTTTGAACTTTGGGCCTATTGAATGGCATACTTCTACAGAAGTACAATTCCCAGCAAAATAATCCTGCCTAGGTACTTCAGGGCAACGACTTCTGTATACAGAACAGATAGATTAAGTTTAGCAATGGACTACAGATAAAGTTAGCCTGATGACCACTCCTAAATCTTCCTTGTTAATCAAATGTGACTAAAAACATATTTACACTGACTTCTTCTCATCAAATGTTTCTATCTTGACATGGGTCTGCATGAAAAACCAGGTCAAATACAACTTTGCAACAAGAGACAGATGGAACATGATTGATCAGCTGTGATTTCAGAACTAGATCTTCATCATAAGGAAGAAACAAAAGTCAAGATGTAGTGAGTCACTGGTGTGAACTCTAAAGCAAATCAGATAAAGCAAAGAAGTTATAAAGATTTTTAATGAATGATGGATAGTAACTGGCACAAAAAGACTCTGCTAGAACTACAATCTCTAGAGTGCCCTCCCATTTTGAAAAAGAGATGACAACTAGATATGATACTTAATATTCTCACACCTAATGCTACATCTATATGCTATTTAAAATGATTGTCATTCTATGAGTCTGCTGTGTGGACTGCTTCCGAACTCAACATGTCTTAAAATGCAATGTCTGGCCTCATTCTAAGTCTTTTTTATTTTTGCTAAATATTTATTTATTTATTTGAAAGATAGCCTTACAAAGAGAGAGAGGGAGAGACAGAGAGATCTTCCATCTGCTGGTTCACTCCCCAAATTGCTGCAACAGCCAGAGACGGGCCCACCCAAGTCAAGAGCCAAGAGCTTCTTCCAGGTCTCCCAAGTGGTTGCAGGAGCCCAGGACTTGGGCCATCCTCTGCTCATTTCCCAGGTGCATTATCAAAGATGGATCAGAAGTGGAGCATCTGGGACTCAAACCCATGTCCATATGATGCTGCCAAGGCAGGCGGTGGCTTTATCCTCTACACTAAAGTGGAAGCCCCATGCACACAAAGTCTTAATCAGTGACTCTTCCTGGCTTTAAACTGAAAGTTTTCTGGCAGAAAAATCACTAATTTCTCTGGTTTCATTTGAGGTACAGAAATACTAGCATGTTGCTTTTATTACTGCTGTAGAATGGTGATGCACCTGCAAGATAAAGCTATGCAGAAACTGGCTGTGTAAACCTTCTATTTATGCAGAAGATCACTACAGCTAAACCCAGAACTTGGGAGTTTTTTCTTAAAGAAACACCTACAGCAGCTGCTGTTGTGGTGTAACACGTAAAATGCCAACTATGACTCCAGCATCCTATATGAGTACTGATTTTAGTCTTGGCTGCTGCACTTCCAATCCAACACTTTGCTAATGGCCTTTCAAAACCAGTGGAAGATGACCCAAGTACTTGTGCCCTGGCTGCCCAGGCAGGAGACCATGAAGAAGCTCCTGACTCCTGGATTTGGCATGATTAAGCCCTGGCTGATGCCACCATCTGGGGAAGTGAAACAGCAGGTGGAAGATCTCTCCCTCTCTCTCTCCCTGTTAATTAATAAGTAAGCAAATAAAGAAATTAAAGAAATGCCTACAACCTCCTCTCTTTTCATCCTTAAAATACCCTCACATTACCCCATAAATTTCATGAAGCACTCCAGGCTCTCAATGTTATCTGGATAATTTCTCTTCAAATGCAAAAAGAATTGGTTGACTTTTCCAAACACTTTGTATTGAAGAGACTACTTATTTTTCTTCATCTGTTCTAGACACCGTAAAAGTCAATTAACTGGCCAGCTCCGCAGCTCAATAGACTAATGCTCTGCCTGTGGCAACAGCACACTGGGTTCTAGTCCCAATCGGGGTGCTGGATTCTGTCCCAGTTGCTCCTCTTCCAGTCCAGCTCTCTGCTGTGTCCCGGGAAGGCAGTGGAGGATGGCCCAAGTGCTTGGGCCCTGCATCCACATGGGAGACCAGGAGAAGCACCTGGCTTCAGATCAACGCGGTGCGCTGGCCGCAGCGGCCATTCGAGTGTGAACCAATAGAAGGAAGACCTTTCTCTCTGTCCACTCTGCCTGTCCAAAAAAAAAAAAAAAAAAGTCAATTGACTATGGGTTAATGACTTGTTCTCTATTCTGCCCCATTGCTTAATGTATGTGCTTTAATGCCAGTGATATGCTATTTTGATTACTATAGCTTTGTAAAATATATTAAGTAGTGTGACCATTCCAGCTTTCTTCTTTTACTTCAATATTGACTTGACTATTCATTATCCTTCACAGTTCTGTACAATTCTGGGGACTTTAAAATATTTTGTTAAAGAGGGGCTGGTTGGCACTGTGGTTTAGTGGGTAAAACCACCACCTGCAGTACCAGCATCCCATAAGCGTGCCAGTTCAAGTACCGACTACTCCACTTATGATTCAGCTCTCTGCTATGGTCTAGGATAGCAGTGGAAGATGGCCCAAGTCCTTGGAGACCTGGAAGAAATCCTGTTTCTTGGCTTTGGATTAGCACCCTGCCACAGCCTTTGTGGCCATTTGTGGAGTGAACCAGTGGATGGAACACTTGATTCTCTGTCTCTGTCCCTCTGCAATTCTTTCACATAAATAAATCTTTTAAAAAGTTTTGTTAAAGAATAGCATTGAAACTTTGCAATTGCACTGAGTCTGTATATTGCTTTGGATAGTAAGAATATCCTAATACTATTCTAACTTATGAACTTGAGTAATGTTTCAATTATTTCTGTTGTATTCAATTTCTTCACCAACATTATAAAATATTCAGCATTCAGGTAATTATCTCCCTAGATTAAATTCACTCCTATATATTTATTTTTTCTGCTAGAATTTGTTTTTCAAAAAATTGGTTCTTAGGTTATATAAATTCTCTTAATTTTGTATTCTATAACAGCTGCAAAGAAAAAAGCATCTGGCAAAACAAACCCAGATTCATTATTTAAAAATTTCAAGAGAGAGGGCCAGGGGCTGATGCTGTGGTGCAGCAGATTAAAGCCCTGGCCTAAAGCGGCAGCATCCCATATGGGTGCCAGTTCTAGAACCAGCTGCTCCACTTCCAATCCAGCTCTCTGTTGATGGCCTGGGAAAGCAGTAGAAGATGGCCCAAGTCCTTGGGCCCCTGCACCCAAGTGAGGACCTGGAAGAAGCTCCTGGCTGTTGCGGCCATCTGGGGAGTGAACCACTGGATGGAAGACCTCTTTCTCTCTTTCTCTCTCCCTCTTTCTCTCTCTCTCTCTGCCTCTCTTCTCTCTGTGTAACTCTATTAAATAAATAAATCTTTAAAAAAGAGAGAGAGAGAGACAAGGCCAGTGTTGCAGTACAGATGGTTAGGCCACTGTCTACAGCACCAGCATCCCACATGGTCACTGATTCAAGTCCCAGCTGCTCCACTTCTGATCCAGGTCTCTGCTACTGTGCCAGGGAAAGCAGCAGTGGATGGCCCAACTGCTTGCACCTATGTTGGAGACTTGGATGAAGCTCCTGGCTCCTGGCTTTGACCTGGCCCAGCCCTGCCATCAGTTGGGCATTCATCTGGGGAGTTGAACTAGTGAATGGAAGATCTCTGCCTCTGCTCTCTCTTTGTAACTCTGACTTTCAAATACTAAATAAATCTTTTAAAAAAAGAAATGCATCTCAATAAAATAAAGGCCATAAATGACAAGCTCACAGCTAACACCACAGTCAACAGTGAAAATTTGAAAACTTTTCCTCTTAGGCAGACATCGTGGAATACTGGGTAAAGTCACCATCTAATGCCAACCTCTCATATGGCATTGTTTGTGTCCCAGATGCTCCACTTCTGATGAAACTCCCTTTTAATGACCAGGAAATGTCAAAAGAAGATTCTCCAAATGCTTGGGCCCTTGTAACCCATGTGAGCCCCAAAAGAAGCCCCTGTCTTTCGGCTGGCCCAAGGCTGGCCATTGCAGCCATCAGGAATGAACCAGAGCATGGAAGATTTCTCTCTGTCTCTCCTGACTCCTTGAAAATATAAACATTTCCAGGGCCAGCGCTTGGTGCAGTGGATTAAGCCCTGGCCTGAAGTGTCAGCATCCCATATGGGTGCTGGTTCTAGTCCAGCTGCTTCTCTTCTGATCCAGCTCTCTGCTGTGGCCTGAGAAAGCAGTAGAAGATGGCCCAAGTCTTTGGGCCCCTGCACCCATGTGGGAGACCTGGAGGAAGCTCCTGGCTCCTGGCCTCTGATGGCATAGCTCTAGCTGTTGCAGCCATCTGGGGAGTGAACCAGCAGATGGAAGACCCCTCTATCTCTCTCTGCCTTTCCTCTTTCTGTGTAACTCTAACTTTGAAATAAATAAATAAATCTTAAAAAAAGAAAAGAAAAACATTTCCTATAACAACAAAAAATACAAGGATGTCTACTCTCATCACCTCAATTGTGTATAGGACTGAAACATCTAGTGGGAGCAATTAGTGAGAAAAAGAAATAAAACTGGACCTTAGCTATTTAGAAAACCCTAATGATTCCATGAGAGGCTATTCATTGTCCTGAATTGTGCAGCATGTCAAGCCATTGTTTGTGCTGCCAGCATTCCCTAACAGAGCCCCAGCTCTAATCCCAGCTACTTTGCTTCTGATCCAGTTTCTTGCTAATATGCCTGGCAAAGCAGCAGAGGATGGTCCAAGCCTTATGTGCCTGTTACCCAATGTAAGAGACAATGATGGCTGCTGGCTTCAGCCTGCCAAAGATCTGCCTGTTGTAGCCATTCAAGAAATAAACTGTCATTCTTACTCTCTCTCCCCATCTGTCTCTGCCTATCTCAGAGTCTCCTGCTTTTAAGACAAATAGGGACCAGCACTGTGGCAGAGGAGGTTAAGTGGCCTCCTGTAATAACAGCATCTCATAGGGATACCAGTGTGGGTTCCATCTGATCAACTTCCATTCCAGTTCTCAGGTAATACACCTGGGTCCAAGGTTCAAGTGCCTGGGCCCCTGCAACCACATGGGAGACCTGGAAAGAAGCTCCTGGCTCCTGGCTTTGGCCTGTCCCAGCCCTGGTTATTGCAGAAGTGAACCAGCAGATGGAAAAACTGATTCTCTCTCTCTTTCTCTGTAACTGCCTTTCAAGTAAATAAATATTATAGCAAGCAAAGATAGCAAATAAATATTTTTCAAGATTTCTTTCATTTATTTGAAAGGCAGAGTTACAGGGAGATAGAGAGATCTTTGATCTTGGTTCACTGCCCACATGTCTACAGTGGCATGGCTGGGGAGCCAGAAGCATAGGTTACAGAGGCCCAAGCACCTGAACCTTCTTTCCCTGATTTTCCAGTGCATTAGCAAGAAGCTGGATAGGAAGTAGAAGAGCCAGGACTCTAATCAGTGCACACGTGGTATAGCGGAATGGCATGTGGTTGCTGGACTAAAATAGATAGATCTTCAAAAAGGAAAATTTAAAAAACTATTAAATCCAAAAATGCATTACATAAAGTTGCAGGATACAGAATCAACCAGGTTGTAGTAATTGTGCTACATCAAAAATGTTTGAAGCAATGCAGATTTATCTTGGAGAAGGACAGACTGAAAGATTAATGCCAACCGGCGCCGCAGCTCAATAGGCTAATCCTCCACCTGTGGCACCGGTACACCAGGTTCTAGTCCCGGTCAGGGCACCGGATTCTGTCCCAGTTGCCCCTCTTCCAGGCCAGCTCTCTGCTGTGGCCTGGGAGTGCAGTGGAGGATGGCCCAAGTGCTTGGGCCCTTCACCCCATGGGAGACCAGGAGAAGCACCTGGCTCCTGCCATTGGATCAGCACGGTGCACTGGCCACAGTGCACCAGCTGCAGCGGCCATTGGAGGGTGAACCAATGGTAAAAGGAAGACTTTTCTCTCTGTCTCTCTCTCTCACTGTCCACTTTGCCTATAAAAAAAATTAATGCCTTGCTAGTGAATAAATGTGGAATCTGATGTCACAGAGTAAAAGATGTAAGCATTGTGAACGTGTATTGTTTCCTAGGCTGCCATAAAATCATGACAAAATAGGTGACTTAAAACAACTAAAATGGGATAGGCATATAAAAATGTGGAATAAATATATATTCTTTTTCTGTTCTTGAGGCTGGAAATCTGATATCAGGGTGTCGGCAGGGCCATGTTCCTTCTAATGGCTCTAGAGAAGAATGCCTCCTTGCCTTTACCTAGCTTTTGATGATTGCCTGCAATCATTGACATTCAGTGGCTAGAAGCTGTATCTCTCTAATTTCTGCCCCTGTTGTCATGACATCTCCTTTCTGTGTGTCTTTATATGGCTTTCTTTTTTTAATATTTTATTTTTTTGACAGGTAGAGTTACAGACAGTGAGAAGCAGAGACAGAGAGAAAGATCTTTCATCTGCTGGTTGACTCCCCAAATGGTGGCAACAGCTGGAGCTGGGCTGATCCAAAGCCATGAGTCAGGAGCTTCCTCCAAGTCTCCCACATGGGTGCAGGGGCCCAAGGACTTGGGCCATCTTCTACTGCTTTCCCAGGCCATCAGCAGAGAGCTGGATTGGAAGAGGAGCAGCCGGGACTAGAATGGGATGCCGGTGCCACAGGTGGAGATTAAACTTCTGTGCCACAGCACTGGCCCCTGTGTGATCTGCTTATAAAAACAATACATATTGGGGGCCAGCACTGTGGTGTAGCAGGTAGGGCTTCCACCTGCAGTGCCAGTATCCCTTATGAGCACCACTTTGAGTGCCAGCTGCTCCACTTTTGATCCAGCTCTCTGCTGTGGCCTGAGAAATCAGTAGAAAATGACCCAAGTCCTTGGGCCCCTGCCCCCACATGGGAGACCTGGAAGAAGCTCTTGGCTCCTGGTTTTGGATTGGCACAGCTCCGGCCATTGCAGCCAATTGGCGAGTGAACCAGTGGATGGAAGATCTCTCTCTCTCTCTGCCTCTCCTTCTCTCTCTCTGTGTAACTCTGACTTTCAAATAAATAAATAAATAAATGTTCAAAAGCAAAAAAAGTAGAGAATGAGATTTTGACAAAACATAAAATGTCTTTTCCTCATTTAATAATCAGAAATGTAAAATATTCTCTTGTAGTCTGTTTATTTTAACAAGCTGCTCAACCAGATAACTTGGAAATCAAACCTGATGATAAAGTACTAAATTTAATTAGAAATTAGAATAATGTTGTTTCCAAAGGCTTGGACTCTGTCCCAAGTGTGGGGAGCGGGTCCCTGTGGGGAGCAGGGCCCATCTCCTGCAACATGGTGAAATAATTACTGAGACTACCAAGACTAGACTAGACTACTGAGACTATTGAGACTAACTCTATGCGCCTGATCTCCCACCATATGGCGCTCTGAGGAAGTAAACAAATCTTACACAGCTGCTTCATCAATTAGCTGATTCCTGATCCAACCTCTGATGGGAGGAGAACAGCATGCTCAGCGCGTGGGCAGCAGAGCACGGATTGGTGGAAGAGGACTATAAAGGCAAGATAGAAGCGGCAAGATAGAAGTGGAATGCGGTTAGAATGCAGTTAGCACAGGAGCAAACTTGAGCACACAAGGCAGAGTCATTCGCTTAAACAACAGCGTCCAGTCTGGTGTAGCTCCCCCCCCCCCCCGCGAGCCCGCTGGGGAGCGACAAGTGGTTCCATGACTCAGATACAGATGGGGACAAAAAGCCACGGGGAGCGAGAGACAAAAAGCTGCGGGCGAAAAATAGAGAGAAATAAGAAAGCTGGAGAAAGGAAAATAAGAAAAAGCCGCAGGAAGAAAACCACAGGGAGATAAAGAAACCTGAGGGGAAAAAAGCTGCGGGGGGATAAGAGAGCCGGGAAATAGAAAAAAAAAAAATAAGAAAGTCTCCCCACAACATGGCGATGAGAGGGCTTGGATTCGGACTGCCTAGGGTGATAAGCACCTGTGGGCAACTCTAGCAGAGCAGAGTATGTGCCGCGGGGCACCGAAGACAGGCGTGTATGAACACCACAAAGAATAAAAAGAAGGGGGAGCTGTGGGGAGCAGGGCCCTGTGGGGAGCAGGGCCCATCTCCCCACAGCAAGTGCCAATTAAAATAATGAGGACATGGTTTTGGGGAGAATAAAACAGAGTAGTTAATCCTTTGCAAACGAGGACACAGAAGTCTATCAAATCTCAATGATAGTTACCAAATAATCAGGCCCTTGCTGCTTGCTGCTCAGATGGTCAATTCATCAGAGTGTTGGTGAAAGGAAAGGGTTAATTTAAAAAATCCAGTACTCTTGGGGGAAAGAGATCCCCCAATCCAAAGTGAGCTCTTTCCCAACAAACCAACAGGACAGTTGCAGAGTGAGGTTGGAAATAGAACAATGAGTCTATTTGATTAACAATTATGCAGATTTTCATGCTTTGTTCTGATGAGGGTCCTACCTTGGCAGAGGAGTGTAGCATGGATCCCTCAGCTGGCAGTTCTTGATACGGAGCTCAACATCAGTTGGGAGAGCTCAACATCAGTTGGGAGGAGACTTTCTTTAGCTGGGTCAAAAGTCTGCCATTCCAAATCATCCCCTTTCAGTGGACTCCTAAAATTCTTATGAAAACAATATTCACAAGACTAGGGTTAGAGTAGATGCCTTCAGGAAGGTAAAATGTGGGAAGGGAAGGTGCCTGTATTATGGCTAATAATTCCTCACTGTCAAGTTTTCTGATCCATATGTATGGAATAGGCTACTTTCTGCTGAATGAAAGTAATGTAGGGGAATTTTTGGAATGGAAAATTGACATTATTTTGACCCTTGCTTTCTCCCTTTGAAGAGAGATAAAGGCAAGAACATTTGTTTAGCTTCTGGCTCATACATTCATTTGTAAAGTTTCTGTAACATAGTGACTTTAAACCCTAAGTAAATTCCCAATAACATTATTAGAATGTTAGTCCTAATTTAAAATTCCTCCTAAAATAGACCTGGTTCCAGATGGTATCCAGGAAATGAATTTGAAAGCCAGTCTCTACCTCCTTGGGAAAGGGGAGCCACACAGGTAGTTTCCACATGTTTTACCTTACAGGTGCCTTATCATTTCACAGTAATAATCAAAGCAACAACATATTAACATTACTCTACCTAAACAGCAAATCATAAAACTGTTGGCAGCTTTCACTAAGAATTTTTAACCTCAAGTAAGTAAAGCCATTGACTAGGGCTCAGTTTGTAGGTCAGACATAGTATTAAACTGGATGGGCATGTTAGCTAGGAAAATGATCCCAGAGCTATTGGGATTTTATACACAATATCTTGTTTTGATGGAGGCACAAATTTCTTCTTTGGATGGCCATGAGGGTGTTTCAAGCCATTTGGCTTTGGGGGATTGCCTTCCTCAGTAGGGAAATTTAAGCTCAGTTCTATCTCTCCTTCACCATCCAATAGGCACCTGCATAATAAGAAAAAGCATAGTTTCCTACCACTTTCTCTCTATATAACCCTGCTGTTTAAATAAAGAAAATCAATCTTTTAAAAAAATGAATTCCAGATCCGAATTTCTAAAGGGGATGTCAATCACATACAGGCTTGCTGGACTATAGTGTTCCAAGCATCCATGCACATGTCCCTTGGAAGGCTTTAGAAGAAAGGTGGCTGACACTCATCATTTTTAGATTAATGAGCAGGTCGTGTGACTGTGAGCTGGGAACCTCCCTGTTGTTTATGAGGTTGCAATGGTGAGATGGGCTGTCTAAGAGTGAACTGCTCTGCCTCTCCATAGTACATCATCAGTGGCTGTTATTCTTACATGCATTAGGCAGTCTTGCCTAGCAATGTCCAGATTTTTAAATATTTAAATTTCTAAATTTGAGTCAGTATTCTGAGTCCTAGTTCTTGCTTCTTGATTACCAAGAATTCCAAAACCTATCTCAGATCTGAAAACCCCAGTATGGGTGCTGTATATAGATTCTAGCATAATGTGAGAGTATAAGATGAGAGAACTCCAAACATTGTATTTAGTTAGCATACCTTAGAAATAGTGGCAGTCTGTAGAGGTTGCAAATCTACCTACCAGGGTGGTGAGACATTTAAGGGATTTTAATAATTCTCCAAAAATTATTAAAAGGAAAAACAGCAACATGATAAAGGCTGGCTTCCCATGAGTCCTAACCCTATTCATCTTCCTGCACTATACACCCTCACCCATCCATGATCCATACCCACCCTGCATAGCTTGTCTGGGCCGCAGCTGAGAGAAATTTGATGGGGAGCTGATGACAAATGACCTAAACAGCATATTGATATAGGAATCACCCCGTAAGACCTTTGGATCTAGCTGAAAAGCCCATGACATCATTTCAGTCACGAAAAAGCTAAGACACTGTGGCAAAAAAAAAAAAAAAAAAAACAAAACAAAAAAAAAAAAACACTACATGAAGAATCTCTGTGAGTTAGACCTCAGTGGAAAGAAGGGGCCATCAAAGGAGGTACCTTTCTCTGAAGGGAGAAGAGAACTTCCACTTTGCTTATGGCCCTGTCTGAATACCGACAGAGTTGTGGACTCAAAAAGCTTCCATAGCCTTGGCAGCACATGAGAAGAGCCTCAGGTGATCACTGACTTCATAATTAAGAGTGTCAATTGTTAAATCAACAACAGGAGTCACTGTGCACTTGCTTACCATGTAGGACCTCTGTCCTTAATGAGTTGTACTATGAGAATTAATGGTAAAACTTGTCATCTTCAAAAAGTACTTTATACATTGTGTGTCTGTGTACGAGCAAACTGTTGAAATCTTTACTTAGTGTAGAGTTGGTCTTTGGTATATAAAGATAATTAAAAATGAATCTTTATGAAGAATGGGATAGGGAGAGGGAGTAGAAGGTGGGAAAGGGAGAAGTGGGGGTGGGAGGGTGGGTATGGGAGGAAGAACTGCTGTATTCCTAAAACTGTATCCATGAAATTTGTATTCATTAAGTAAATGCTTTATAAAAGGAAAGGAAAGGAGAGGAGAGGAGAGGAGAGGAGAGGAGAGGAGAGGAGAGGAGAGGAGAGGAGAGGAGAGGAGATGGGAGGGGAGGTGAGGGGAGGGGAGGGGAGGAAAAAAAAGAGCCAAGAATGGGACAAATATCCCTAAAGCTCCTGCATTTTCTAAATTGACAAGGACTCCTCACTGTCTCCTTGGGCATCAACAGCCACAGACACAGTTGCTGGATGGTTTAAGGGATTTAAATGATTACTCCATCACATTTACCAGATCTCTCACAAAATCTCTACTATAGGAAACCCACTTAACAGGGGCTGATGCTGTTGCATATTGGGTAAAGCAGCCACCTTCAGTGCCAGCATCACATTTGGGTGCCAGTTAGGGCCACCCCCTGCTGCTTCAGTTGTGATCCAGCTCTCTGCTGTGGCCTGGGAGAACAGTGGAGGATGGCTCAGGTGCTTGGGGCTGCATCCAGGGTGGAGGGAGTCTGGGAGGAATCTCCTGACTCCTAGATTCAGATCAGCCCAGCTCTGGCCATTGCAGCTACCTGGGAAGTGAACCAGTGGATGGAGGACCTCTCTCTCTCTCTCTCTGCCTCTGCTTCTCTGTAACTCTGCCTTTCAAATAAAATAAACATTTTAAAAAATCCACTTAACAGCCAACTTCTCTTAAATTTAACACACATACAGGACATGCAGTATTACAATAGAACACCACTTTCTTAGTAATAGGAGTGTAACTATAAGCTGCTCAATCAGCCACAATGCAACTCAAGGTGCTTTTGGATGGAAATTAAATTGAACCACTCATCTTTCACCAAATGAATACTCTTCCAAATTGGTGTGTGTGAACCTCTGGATCTCCTCACATCTGGAGCTGAAGAGTCAGCCCGCTACTCTGCATGGAGCAGGTAGTGGCACAAGCCAACCTTCAGAGCTGTCCCTGAGCTGTAACCCCACTGTCTGTGTGAGTGTGTGTGTGTGCATGGGCCCAGTGTGTGCAAACCTCTGGATCTCCTTGCATGTGGAGCTGAAGCACCAGCTCCCTAGCCCCCTTGCTAAGTGACACAAGGAGACTACAAGATGCTCCAGCCAAGATGCCGCCTCACCACCTTGTCTGGAGTCCCTATCAGCCTACTGCCAGAGTAGACCACAGAGGCAGACCAGGCCTCTGAGCAGGGGACCTCTCCAACTTCTCTTCACCTTCCACTGCAGTTTAGTTCACAGGTTCCAGAGCAAAGAAACAACCTGATATGTGTTAAATATCCTCCAGGAACAAATCTGAGTGAAACCTACATTTGTTCTCAGGAAAATAGACTTTGCTTCACCTTCTACTGCAGTTTAGTTCACAGGTTCCAGTGCAAATATGGAATAGGAAACAATCATCAAGAACATGAACATAAAACTCACTTGCTGGGACTGGCATTGTGGTACAGCACATTAAACTATCACTTATGATGCCTGCATCTCCTATCAGAGTGCCAACTTGAATCCTAGCTGTGCTCTTTCTGATCCAATCTCCTAACCTGTGCCTAGGAATTAGCAGATAATGGCCTGATTACTTGACTCCTTGCCACCCACATGAAATACTCAGATGAGGTTCCTGACTCCTGGCTTCAGTCTGGCTCAGGCCCAACTGTTGAAGCCATTTGGGGGAGGGAACCAGTGAATGGAAATCTCTCTCTCTCTCTCTTTATTCCTCCCCTATGTGTGTGTATCTCCTTCCCTTTCACTCTGCCTTTCAGCAAAATAAATAATCTCTAAAAAATCTCCCTTCAGGATCAAGCATCTGGGGGATACTGCACTTTAGGAGGAAATGGATTGATTTGTTCAGAGTACTCAAAGCAGCTTCTTTATATCCCAGTTCTTTCTCTGTCCACACTTACATTTTTATAGCACTTATGACAGCATTAGTGTGAGTTTTCATTCATTTTCTCATATGTAGTGTGTGACCTATTACAAAGCAACCTTCCTGATTGTATGTCTTTTGCTTCTCCATCCCAAATACTTAGAATAGTGTCTAGTGCCTGACAGGTGAAGATCATTTGTTGAATGAACAAACTGAACTATTTACTAAATGTTAATGAAGGAGGTTATGTTCAATCAGTCCATTTATAAAATAAAGCTCAGCTGACTATGAAATGTTTATATTGTATATAAAATATATATGAATTTGCAGTCTGCCTTTGAACTCCGTCATAAGCATCAGTATCCTTGTCTCCTTAATTGTTGTGGGCAGTAAGAAGACTTCTGTCTGCTCTGTTTAAAGATCCCCATGGTTCTCAGTGTTCAGAGAGCTTTTCTGCTGGTGACCTTTCATGTCCACCTGGTTTCTCTTTGTACCAAGCCTGGACTTGAGGATTGTGATTGTGGCTATGGATCCCAGCTCAAAACTCAAAATGTACCCACTGAAATATTTTCTGATTTCCTCTTCAAGCCAATGGCTGTTTGACACAGTGTGGATTGACATCCACATACGTGTGACTTTTCCCATTTTTCTGGAATTGATTTCTATTTTAATTCCATTGCAGTTATGAAAGCAATGATATGACTCCAATTTTCTAAAAATTATTGACACATATTTTCTGAAATAACAGATGATCCCACCTGGAGAATTGTTGACAGCTGTTGAGAAGAACACATGTTCTGCTGTCAGGTAGAATGCTCTCTGTCTAACTGTTAGGAAAAGTTGATTTATAATATTGTTCAAATCTACCACTCTTGAAAGTGGAGTAGTAATACATTCTGTTTGTTCCATTGCTCTTTATCCCTTCAGAGCTGTCAACATTTGCTTATATATTCTGGTGTCCTGAGGTTGGGTATGCATGTTGTTCAACCTAGAAAAGTACACAGAGGAACACTCAACAATATCAATAATAACATAGGAACAAAATGAGGAATTCAAAAAACACATAGAACAATGAAGAATCAATCAATTTTCAAGATGTAGAAAATGGTGAATAAAAAGAAATAAAAATAAATAGAAAACTTCTACTTCAAAGAAACACAATAGAAAAAACATTTTGTTATGTAGAAATGGAATTGGACTTGCATGACCCTCAAACTCTGATGCTTTTCCCTGGCATAAGTCCACGTCTTCTACTGAGAGCATCATCCAATGATTTCTTCAGAGTGATCCATCCCACCTGTCAATGCAAGTGTTAAGTGACCATAAAACTAGCTCCTGCTGCAGGGGCAAGGGTCATGCTTGTTCTTCCTGCTGTGGTATTGTTGGTGCATGAGGAGTTGGGGCTCAGGTGTGCACATCTTATGAGGGAATGCACAGGTCCCAGGATTTAGCCCTGGCTGTTGACACAACATCTCTCTGTTCAGCACAAGGTACACCTGCTTCCACCTAAGTGTAAGATGCCCAAGGGTGACCAAATTATGTCTCCCTCAAACACAGCCAGGAGGGAGGGAACCCAGGCCACACCCACACTGAACACGGCTTCTGCACTCTGTCATCAGTGTCTTTAGTGAGAGAGGATGGCATCGGATTCCTATTTCAAAAAAAATTGATGACATAAAACTCATCAAAATGGAATTAGGAATGTTATTGTGAAAATGGGCAAATATAAGAGATTGTACAAAATTAGTAAGTATTAACTGCACTTCTGAGAGAATATGTTAATTTTTTTGAGATGTGTATTTGGCCACTTTTTTCATATCAACTTTTTTTTTTAAAGATCTGTGTTATTTATTTGAAAGGCAGAGTTAGAGAAAGACAGAGAGAAATTTTCATTGGTTGGTTCACTCCCCAAATGTCCACAATGGGCCAAACCGGGCCAATCTGAATTCAGGAGCCAGGAGTTTCTTCCAGGTCCCCAATGTGGGTGCAGGGATCCAAGTATTTGGGCCATCATCTACTGCTTTTCCAGGCACATTTGCAGAAAGTTGGATGGGAAGTGGAGCACCCAGGACTTGAACCGGCACCCTTGTTGGATGCTGACATTACAGGCCAGGTTTTAACCTACTGTGCCACAGGTCTAGCTCCTATTTGACCACTTTAAAAATGTACTATTATTGTGGTCCTGACAAAACAAAATACAGCTGATGAATTTTATCATCTTAAGCATTTCGAAGTGTATAGTTGAGTAGTGTTGAGGATATGCACATTGTTGTGGGATGAATATTAGGAACTGTTTTTCCTTATGAGACTGAAACTACCCATTGAAAGAAAGTTTTTACAATTCCACCACCACCAACTCCCAGTAACCTGCCATTCTACTTGCCATCGCCCAGACTATGGAGTCTTTAGGAGATACAGTGATATTTCAGGGTCACATAACTGAAAGGATAGAGGGAACCCTCTTGGAACTCAGTTTGTCCTGCAAAGCTGGGTCCTGATTGTACCCAGGCACTCCCTGGGGTTTTTTGGATTGAGCTATGTGTCATAAATGTGTGTGATTATTGACATGGCATGAGGCAGATGGAGGATGAGTCTTTGGAGAGGTCCTTTCTGCTGAGGAATCCCAGGAAAGAGATCCCAAGAAATGAAATCAATTTCTTGATGAAAGTCTACAATAGAACCTGGAACTCAGGGTGTCTAAGCTTTCTTTGCTGAAGCCCCATTGGAGAAAGCCATCTGTTCTCTTCTGTCCTGACTTCTAGGGGCCCAGACTCAAGAAATCTAGGATGTGAATACTTTATAACTTTGCAGATATTGACTCAAGCTCTTGCTATTGATACCTCAGGCATTTGGGCAGGAAGGACTCCATGGTGACATGGGTTGTCCCTAAGAAGGAAACTCTAGGCAAGGTCACCACGCTGATCCCACTTGGGCATTGCAACACTACTTCCCCTTTTGTGGTATTTTTGGGAGCTTCATGTAGGCTGTCCTGTCCCATGTAGGAACAATTTATTGGAAGAGTTAAAATCTGGGTTAGCCTGTTAGGTCTACACTCTAGGTCATGGCAGGCAGAATGGGTAGAGGAATGTTGTGCTGGCACTCATCTTTTATGTGAATCCCAAGCTAGAGAATGTTCAGATGGAAATCTGTGCTTGACCTTGCTAACAGAAAGTTACCTGGAACAGAAACAGTATTGAAAGCCAGATGGGGTTATGATACCTATAGACCTGGCTTTAGAACCACTGCAGGAAGTTGAAAATGTACTTAACAGTCATACACTTCTCCCTGGGTGATGGGCAATTTCACCACACTGACAATGAAGCCCAATGCTGATTCACCTTGAGTGCAAGTACAGAGGGATCTTCATAACTGTGCAGAGGGATCTTCATAACCATGGCCAGTAATGGCCAACGCGACCTCCTGCTCCTGTTCTTTAAAAACAAACAAACAAAAAACCCAGGTGCATAATTTGATGAAGATATATATTTTCAGCTACATGCACAGTGTAAATGTAATGTAAAATGATGCAACCACCACAGAAAACAGTATGAGTGTTCTTCATTACATTGAAAACAAAATTTTTATATTATCTGATAATCTCAGTTCTTATTAAATATCTAAAAGCATTGAAAGTTCAATATAAATAAAGTATTGGCACTGTTTGCCACAGCATAATTCACTGTAGCCAAGACTTTTAGTGTGGCCTGCACTCACAGTGCAAAGTTATGCAGGCACAGAGAAAAGAAAATCCTGTGCCATGGATGAACAGTAAGGTTATTTTCCTAAGTGAAATTAACCACAAATATCAGTCCCCAAAGACAAATACTGTAAGATTCCAACATATGAAGTATTTAAAGTAGTCAGAGGGGCCAGCGCTGTAGTGCAGTGGTTTAAAGCCCCACCTGCCATGTCGGCAATCCATATGGGTGCCTCTTCAATTCCTGGCTACTCACTTCTGACCCAGCTCTCTGTTATGGCCTGGAAAAGCAGTAGAAGATGGCCCAAGTCTTTAGGCTCCTGCACCTCTGTGGGAGATCTGGAAGAAGCTCGTGGCTCCTGGCTTCAGATTGGCTCAGCTCTGGCCGTTGTGGTCATTTGGGGAGTGAACCGGTGGATGGAAGATCTTTCTCTGGCTCTACCTATCTCTGTAACTCTTTCAATTAAATAAATCTTTTTTTAAAAATAGAATACGAGGGTCCAGCGCTGTGGCTCAGCAGGTTAACGCCCTGGCCTGAAGTGTCGGCATCCCATATGGGCATCAGTTCTAGTCCTGGCTGCTCCCCTTTCGATACAGCTCTCTGCTATGGCCTGGAAAAGCAGTAGAAGATGGCTCAAGCCCTTGTGCTCCTGTACCCATGTGGGAGACTCAGAGTAAGCTCCTGGCTTTGGCTTTGGGCCGATGCAGTTCTGGCCATTGCAGCCAACTAGGGGGTGAACCATCAGATGGAAGACCTCTCTCTTCCTCTCCTTTCTCTGCATAACTCTGACTTTCAAATAAAATAAATAAATCTTTAAAAAAAATAGACTATGAGAAGCATAAATTAGAAGGGTAATTATGGATGGTAGAAAAGGTATGCTATTCAGTAGAAATAGAACTTTTAGATGAAAACAATCCTAGAAATCTGTGTGTGTGTGTGTGTGTAGACACATGTATACATCACTTAACCTTACACTGACAACTGCCCTTGTGAGATACAGTACTCAAGCCCTCTTCTATCTGACCTTGTATAAGAAAAGGGCTCCCTCTGTTGGTCTTTGGTCACTCTTCAGGTGTTTGTGAGTAGGGCTGGTGGCAGGCTATTCCCAAGTGAGTAGAGAGTCATGACTGGTGTCATCTAGGAATGTTGGGAAAGACTGCAATGCCATATCTCTTTTCTCTCCCCAGCTTGGTCTCCTTAGTTATCACACTGTATTGGGTGACAATGCAGGAAGATACACCAGTCTCTGCTGAATTTATGACAATGCAATTGCAATGAATCCTATGAATGGATCTTCCTTTATAAGAAAATGGGCAGCCTCTCATCTTGGCCTGAGAGTTCTAAATGCATCCAACAATATTTCCAGTTTTATTTATTTTATTTTATTTTTTTAAGATGTAATGAATTATTTGAAAGTCAGAGTTACACAGAGAAAGGAGAGGCACGAGAGAGAGAGAGAGAAAGAGAGAGGTCTTCCATCTGATGGTTCACACCCATTGGCTGTAATGGCCAGAATTGTGCTGATCCAAAGCCAGGGGCCAGGAGCTTTCTCTGGGTCTCCCACATGGGCACAGGGCACAAGGACTTGGGCCATCTTCTGCTGCTTTCCCAGGCCATAGCAGAGAGCTGAATCAGAAGTGCGAGCAGCCAGGTCTTGAACTGGCACCCATATGGAATGCCGGTGTTTCAGGCCAGGGCATTAACCCCCTGTGCCACAGTGCCAGGTCCCTCCAGTTTATTTTGGTAGGACCCTTGTCCAGGTATATCAGGCCAGAGAATAATCAATAATGTCTTTCCTGCTGGCGCTGTGGCTCACTAGGTTAATCCTCCACCTGTGGTGCTGTACTCCGGGTTCTAGTCCCATAGTTGGGGCACCGGATTCTGTCTCAATTGCTCCTCTTCCAGTCCAGCTCTCTGCTGTGGCCCAGCAAGGCAGTTGAGGATGGCCCAAGTGCTTGGGCTCTGAACCTGCATGGGAGACCAGGAGGAAGCAACTGGCTCCTGGCTTCAGATCACCGCAGTGTGCTGGCCATAGCGTCCATTTGGGGGGTGAACCAATGGAAGGAAGACCTTTCTATCTGTCTCTCTCTCACTGTCTGTAACTCTCTCTGTCTAACTCTGTATGGCAAAAAAATAATAATAAAATAAAAATAAATAAATAAAGTAATGTCTTTCCAACATTTACATTAACATTTCTTTCTCCATGAAAGATTTTCCTACAGAGAAGCAACATGAAAGACTTGATTTTTCTCTTCTATATCATGGAGTTGCTAAGGAAATAATTCCCTCATTAACCATTGGAGTGATCAAAGTGAATTTACATGAATGGTGAACACAGGAGATAGAGCCGAGTGAAGGCAGAAGTTCACAGTGCAGTGGGGAGACAGACACTCCTTCAGTGAGCTCAATCAGTACTAGAGGTACTGGGAGAGGTTGAGCAGCATTGAGTGAGAGATAAATGAGAGGGTTGGATAGAAGAGCAAGAGGGAGTTATTCATTTCTGGTCACCATTCTTATACTTAAAAATTTTCTGGGATACATTGTAATATTTGGATAAAGTCTTTTTTTCTCTTTCAATATTTGCTTATATTTTCAGTTTCCATTCAATGATAATCAATTCCATAAAAAGTTGAGTTACTATGAATCAAAGCACAGTTACAAAACACATATATATGAGAGTATTTCAGGCATGGAAAGCCAAGACACTCTGGGAAAAAAAAAAAAAAACCTAAATGAAAGATCTCCACGAGTGAGATCCCAGTGGAAAGAACGGGTCATCAAAGAAGGAGGTACCTTTCTCTGAAGGGAGGAGAGAACTTCCACTTTGACCATGGCCTTGTCTAAATATGATCAGAGTCGGTGAACTAGGGGGCTTCCATAGCCTTGGCAGCTCATGACAAGAGCCTAGGGTGATTACTGATGCCATAAACAAGAGTGTCAATTTGTTAAGTCAACA